AGTACTTTTTAATAAAATAAATATAATACAATAGTACCAAAATGAAACTGTGTTGCGACTTCCGCCGTATCACTGCGAATTAAATCCAATCGAATTAATTTGGGCTCAAATTAAAGGGAATGTACCTTCAAACATGAAAACTTTTAAAATAGTAGAATTAAAAAAAGCAATTGAAAATGTTGGAAAAATTGTATAAAACATGTTCGAGAAGAAATTGAGCCTAAAATGAATAAACAGAAATGTAGAAGTTACGGTAGAAAGTATTTTAATAAGTTTTGAAACAGTAGTAGTAGCAGTGATACGTCGGATAGTGAGTAAATAATTATGATAAGAGGAATAAATTTTATAATGCATTACCGACTTTTAATGCTTTAAGTCTCACTAACTAACTATTGAAGATGTTATAAAAATCTTTTTCTGTGGAAAAAGTAACTACATAAAAGAAAAACAAAGGACATAGACCCACGGACAGATCGGAGAGTGGGCCCAATAATAATAATTCATTCAATCCAGGAAGCGCAAGCGCAAGCGCAGTATGTACGCGCGCTTACTTTTCTAAGATATCGTTGACGCCCACTGCCCTTGCAGATGTGTTTTTGTCTTTATCATCTGTATGGTATTGTGTGACAGAGAAAGCGCTCTACTAACTCGACTCCAGGAACAGAGTATACGTATATGAAACCGAACGGTGGACAAAAAATAAATAGGGATAAATATAACTGACGCTTTAATCGGTTATTTAGGGCCGACTCACATATGGCAAAGCGCAGAGCAGAGCGTTTTTCACATTACCTAGTCTTTGCAGAGTTTACACGAGAACGAAATTTAAATAGAAAAACATTGAGTTCAGTCAGGAAATACTATTTTGGCTTATGGTTTACGCTTGGTATCATACATATTTTCTAGCACATGAAAGCTTATCCTAGGTTTTTCCAAATGACCGCATTCCAAAGTAGGTCTAATGATAATGGCAAAAGGTAGAAAATTTTAAAATTCGCGATTGTTGTCCTGAAGATTATCATTTAAGGTAAAGATGAACCGTTGTCATTGGATAAATGTATTTAAGTACTCTTACCCATTAAACAGCTGGTCTATGTTAAAAAAATAACAATCAAATATGTAATATACTTAATTTACGAATCTTATTTAATTTTTATCAAGTAATACATATAAATAATTAAGACTATTATATTCCTACTAACCTCAGTAATAGCATTAAACCTAACAGTGTTATTAATAAACAAGGATTAGCGTTGGTGTAAATTTTCGCAAAAATTGCAATTTTAGTATTAGTCCGAGTTCTTATTATACAGAGAATAAGCAAACCTACTACCTTCTAGGAGTAAATATTACTGCGTAGAACCTCGTACTATGTTAATCTTGCCAAGTCTCTGTTTAATAATATGAATTTTATCTAATACTAAGTGCGTGAAGTTTACTGCTACGCTAAGCCTTGTTTAATAATAACACTGTTAAAGTTGATCCTTAACACTATTAGAATAAGGGCCATATAGGTTCAGGCCGTATGCAGTATTAGGAATAAATTCGCTGGCATGCTTTGCGCTGTAGTTCGCAATATGTGTGTTGGTCCTTAACCAATTTTTAAGTCTGCTTTGCTATGTTAAAAATACAGTTTTAAACAGCGCCGCGGCAGTATTGGAGGTTAAAAAACCTTTATGGACAGAAATAATTTTTATTATTACGTTTTCAAGTCGGCTTCAATTCATTGACCCTCTAATGCTGTGACTGCGCTGTGTTAGAGGTTCCCACGAGCAATCACAATATTTATAGGACTTCTCTAGCATGTGCACAATTTCATTGTTTGCACAGTTGTGTAAATATAGATAGATTTCTATGCTCTTGCGAATATTTATGCTTCTATACATAATTTATATATACTTTAAAAAATTCAACAGTCATTCAATAGATAAAAGTTTCGGCACCAACTTTACCATAGTAAAATCTCCATATTAGCGGAAGATACTTTCGCATCTGCGAATACAAGAAACGGGTTATGATTTTTCACCCGCAAAAAAAAGAAGCTTTTACTCAGTGTTACTTAATTTCAGTGTTAATTATCAATGGGAATATTGAATATAATAATTTACTGAATTTAATCATAATATAAAAAAATCATAACATAATTAAGGTGAATATTTTCCGAGACGCAAACACACACTATTTAAAAATAAAGAAAACCTCAGTCTTTTTATTCCAACAAGTGAAACTGCAACAAATGAGAACTTTTAAAATTAAATGTAAATAAATCATTATTAGTATAGCTACCTAGGTAAGAAATCATAATGGTACATATTTTGAAACCATACTTTTTATAGTTTACAAAAACATTAATTTCTATAATTCGTCAGATACATATAAAAATATTTCTTATTTAAATTCAGGCCTCCTATAGCCTAATTCAAAGTCATAGTCAAAGAGATAGCGATAATAAAATTTTATTTATTCATAAGATCGAAAAATTCTCTCCTCTTCCTTTTTATTAATTCAAAATGGCCGTCGTAACAAAATGGCGGCGTATATATTTCTGAATAACCCAACCAATTTTGGTATTAAAATGTTTGTATTAGAAAGGGCTTAACTTGGAGTATATACACAAAATAAAAACTTGTTTTGAGTTTTTTTTTAAATTTGTAGTTAATTAAGTAGACTACCGGAGATACTAATACCATACAGACGAAAGATAATTCTTTTATTAGATGTTTTGTGTACTTTTAAAGTATATCCTTCATGTAATCAATACAAATACTTCGAAATCAATGAAACTTAAAATTATCTTACATTTATTTTCCCTATGACTTCGAGATAGGCGGCAGGATGGTCCTTAGTTGTGTCGAAAAATAGTATATCAAAAAGCTCATAATAATGTTTATAAACCATGACTACATTTCCCTACTATCACAGCCATACATAGAACACTGAACTGTCCACAATAAGTCCTTGTACAGTCTTCTGACTAATATATTTTGGCCGCGGTAGATAAGCCTATTTAATTATTAGGTTTACCCGCATCCTTGTAACCAATCCTACATCTCTCTCTCTTAATCTTACTTTGTACATTCCCCACTTTGCCACGTAATCAATTAAGTTTAAATCCTATTTGGTAGAACTTTTTTTGTGTGTGGGTTTTATCTTACTTTTGTAAATGGCAAATAAATTCCTCTCATTTAGGAATTCTTTAGCCAGCTTAGGTACAATTTTATTAAGATTAATCTTTCAGTTGGTTAGGATGCATCAAGCATATATGTATCATATTATATGTAGTTTTATGTGCACACAGCTGTATGCCAGGTTACCACAATATGACAATTTTCCTCAACTGATTTTGAATTCTATTTATAATGTATTAAGATTTAAAATCAAGTGGAGAAATATGGCTGTTTTGTATACCTTGCCGTGTTGTTGTCTGAATAGTCAACAAGCAACAGATAAGATAAATCTCTCTTTTTTCCATGTGATTTGAAACTTTAATGCATTGAACTATTGAAAATCAATTGCGATTTGACGTATTGTGGTAATGTAACATGCTACTTTGTGTACATACAATTAACCGAATCTACTCAGAGCCACTCTAGTGGACAACAGGCTTATGACATACTGAAACGATTCAAAAAATCTCAAATAACCTCTAGGGTACGTAAATTTCAACGATTTAAAATATAAATCGTATTTACAAACACTTTTAAGGTGACTTCTTTTTAACCATCAGTACCTATTATATTTCACCAAACACTATAGCATTTACCTACATTAATATAATTTTAATACATTTCAATTTGGATCAGGTAAATCACCATCTTATTTTGTAGACACATACTTTATTGGAATAACTTAAATGCTGTATGACCGCGTCAATACATATAGGTATTAATCGATAGTTATAGGTAATTTGAAGTGAGGTCTTGATCGTATTATATCATTGTTATTCCTGATGGTAACTACGATAAATACTTAAAATTAAACAGTAATTTTAGTAAATTATCACGCTTAAGAGTCAGTTACATCTTGCCCGCGCTGCGTGGCTCCACGGTCGCATAGGTGCTACTTTGAGAGCTGTAATTTCTACTATACTTAATATTTATTTATTTATTGAACTTTATTGACCAATAAAGATGGTACAAAAGGCGGACTTAATGCTAATAGCATTCTCTGCCAGTCAACCAGCCAGTTAATATATGAAACCGACCCACGCGAAACGGAACGGGCTAGATGTATATATATAGGTTATAAGCATATAGCATAGTCTAAGCGTTATATCACTCTGATTAATGAATGAATATGTTAATATTCTTTTACAATGTTCTGTTTTTTATTATTCATATTAAATCAAAGATTTTCATTGTTTTATTTCTGCATATTGTAAAGTTTGACTAAATTAAAATTTTATCAAAAAAAGTTTTTCGAATTTCGGAGAATAAAGCTATTTCGAAAATTTAATTTATAAAACCTACCCTTATCAATTAAAATTACATATTAAACGATCATACACTCACGGTCAGAGAGTTTAATAAACTAACTCTTGGCTCCTTCCTAATGAATTCATTTTTCAGTTTTGACGACGTAGTATAAAATAAATAAGAATGCAGTCCTTGATGTTTCTTGCCGTTTTTCCACAGCACTGTGTCCTCGTCGAAGATGAATGATGGCATAGTTTGATGTACACGAAACTGATAGAAATCCATCGCAATGGATCTTTTAAATGTCACTTAATATCTACGAACGTATGTACACTTAAATATATTTATATTAAGAGTGACTATTTTTCACATAAGTAAGGTGGCTTTTCGCATATTTCACATGTCCGGAAACTTTAATACCTATATAATGAATAACTTCATAGCAATCGGTAGATAGCAGTTTCCAAAGTTTATCCTACCCACAAAACAGTGAATTGTTTTTTTTAAGGACAAACTCACGCCTCGAAGCCCTGAATACACCCGAGACTTACGAACGATATGTTTCTCTTCTCATTCTTTTATATTCCATATCGCTAAGAAGGCTCGGCGAGCGAGACTTCTCGGCGTGAGTACCGCCTATAAAACGCACATTGTTCCACACTGCACACGGCTAGTGGTAAGGGTGGGTTCACATCGGCCGCCAGTCGCGCTCAGCGGGCTCCCGTTTGACGTGGTAGTTGAGACAGGGCTGGAAGTTGACGTGTATAGTGACGGGGTGGAGCGGCGCCGCGAGCTGCACGGCGCGCGCGTCTAACATGTCGTAACCCGCCACGTGACGCGCTAAGCACGCGTACTCTACGCTTAACGGCACGTAGTATTTACCTGTGATGAGTGAGACGTTACATTGTTATTGACAGCGGGAACTGGGAGTGTAGTGATGAACATCAAATTAATTAGTGAGAAGATGTAATTTCGATCAGTTGCAAATCTTTCATTTATAGAAATAGAAATAGAAAATTGTTTATTTAGCATCAAATTACAAGTATATAACATTGATAATATAAAAATTCAAAATTAGGCACTAAAAAGGTCTCCGCTCAGCAATATGCCGCAGTGTTTAAGCTACGGCGCTGATTTTCAGCGGATACCTTAATTAAATAAATAAACAAACTAAAAAATTTAAAATAAAATATGATAAGGATTTAGGTTTATTGACGCCTTTAACCTTTAATGTATGTCAAATTTGTATCGGTAATGTCGCTTTAAATTAATGACAATTTTAATTGACATTAGTGTACTGGCTTTTTGAAAGTTCAAATTAATTCAAGTTAATTTGAAAATTCAAATTAAAAAATATAAAAATAAATTTATCTAAAGAGGCTGGCAAAGCTGTTGTCAACATACATATTTTTTTTAATGATTTTTCTATACTAATATAATATAAAAAGGAGAGTTTTGTTTCTTTGCATCGAATAGGCTCCGACTCCTGCACGCGTAGCATGACGAACTCGAGAACGTTTTGTCTTCACTCAAATGTCACTTTTCTCGGGTTCGCCCATACGATATCTCACTCTCAACCCGAGAAACTGACAAATGAGTGTAGACAAAGCGTTTCTCGAGTTTGTCATGCTACGCTTGCTAGGCCGATTTTAAAAATTCTTGCACCTACGGGTAGCTACATCATACGGGGTTGACATAGGCTATAATATATTTTTAGTGCTTAATAAAAACGAATATTGCATAGAATTTATAACTCATACGATTACGTAACTATTTTATTTGTCTTAGTACGAAAATTTGGAATATTTCTCGTTTTTTTTTATTTATCTAAAATCATAGTATATGTCCGTTTCATCGTAAATTATCGAAAAATGCGTTTCTTTAGAGTCATATTAGCGTTACGCATATGTAAAGAAAGAAAGAAAAAACATTTATTGAACACACACACATGTAATTTATAATAGGCAATCATAGAGTGTAACCAATGTGGTGTCAAAAGATACTAACTCAACATGTACTCCCAAGTTAACTGTAGTGCCGTTATTCATTTGAAAATATAGACGAAGTTTCGTTTCCGGAAAAACAGAACAGTCTTCAGGTGTCATGGTAGTTCGTACGAATACTATACCTATGTATTGTACTCACCTAGTGCGTTGAGCGCAAACACTGGCACGTACTGTGTCGGCGGCACGGGTTTCTCGTACGTATGATGGTGGTGCGGTGACTCGCTTGACGTGTCCTGGAAATAGAATATCTCTATTTAATTTTACTATTCATGAGAGTGAGCAAATTATCGACCTATTTAAAAAGCCGTGGACTTTTGTGATAGCAAATATCGAACGTTGAGAACGATAGTGACACAATGCAAAAATTGCGATTTTGAGTAATGAGCGTTTAAAGTTCAAGAAATTGTAATCAGCCCTCTAAACAACGCATCGTCACTACGCCACCTAGCAGTTTCTATGCAAGCTACGTTCACAGGGATCTTTGCATTTTAAAGTTTATAGGTAATAAAGAAAAATGTTGCCAAAAGTAGAAAATACGTCGTTTTTGGTTAGTGACATTGTCATTCTCAACGTGCAATATATATTCTGTTTTTCAAAATTCTCATTGTTAAGTAGTTTTGAAGTAAAGAACGGTGGGAAGATACAGTACAGTCAATAGGACGATAGGTTATACATAACTGTCAAAGTACCCCCACTCGATTTTAAATATTAATACAATCAGTGTAGAGGTCTAAATCCGATGCAGAAATTTGATATAATATTGTGGTAACCTGACATGCAGTGCAGCCGCGTGCGCAAGTTTTGTCGATTTTATTAAATAGATTAGACTGTAAAAATCAGGTTTTCATAACAGGTTTTTTTATTTGGTATGTCACATGAAAGAAAGTTTTGAAAAACTTTCTTTTTATTTACTCTACCACTCAATTGGCGTAGTATCCTTAGAAGCAAATAAGCTGTTATGGACGGGCGGACAGACTCACACGTCACTATTTTTACTATTTTTAATATCGCATCACGTGTTACTTTTCATACTTTCTCAATCAGATATACCAATACCAATTTATGACGTTATAAATTAGCGAACCGTTAATGACAAGTCAACTCCACCACATTACATGATTTAACCAAATAGAGCCATATGTGGTTGAAAAAAATATCTCGCATTTTACTGTTAAATTATAAGACTTCTATTTAAATGAAGAGACTGCCTGATTTCAAATACAGTGACACCTTTTTGAACAACTGAATGAAACTAGGACAATGACCTCGAAATATCCAGACATAGTAAGTATAAGTCAGTCGATTGCGAATTGTGAATATCTGCGTCATCATTAGATGCAGCGTGATAACGCGCAAATACATATATTAAGGCGGACTCTCTCCGAATGCCCTTCTAACTAGGGTAAACAGATGGTAACATGGCGTTCTCTTTACCATGTCTTTACGAATAAACAATGCAACTTTAGCGTAAATACGATGAAGTTGGTCAATACATAGATTTGCGTGTTTAAAATATAGAGTGGTAGTACCAAACTATTTTGCCCCAGAGACCAAAACGAAAAGTTCAGATGGGAAGCAGGGATTTCGTAGCATACATATCTGATGAGAGTGGATTAATGCAAGGTTACTTTAAAAAAATATACAAGTGCGAATTACATTGTCAATTTGCTCTTGCACTTAACAAAGTGTAAACTAATCTTATGTCTAAGAGTAAACCAACCTCGTGTCTAAGTGTAAACCAACCTTATGTCTAAGTGTAAACCAGTCTTATGTCTAAGTGTAAACCAGTCAGTAATGTGATACCTGTGGACTAGTATCCCGCGCGTCCTCGGTAGAGCCCGAGCCGGAGGTGGACGTGGACGGCGCTGGCTTGGCGGCTCGCCGTCGCTTGTGACCGTACGACTTGGGCAGAGCGCGCGACATCATGTCCATCGCCTAATCAACAAAACTATTGCTTACGACCACGTCACAATACAACACTATGCTAGATCTAGAAATAGCTTGGTTGGGTAGTAGATAAGTGTCGCGGCCGGCGATCGTTGGTGTTAAGCAACTTTCGCAAGGGTCGATCACGAGATGGGTGATCAAAAAGTATTATCTGGAGCTGCTCCGTGCTCAGAGAAGCACGTTAAACAGTTGGTCCTGACTGAATTTGCAGTCATGAACACCCTCCAATCCACATTGGGTCAAAATGGCGGGTTAATAGTCCATAAGGAAGGCTTGAGACCCTCCAGTGAGGACGTAAAAGGATTGATAATGACGATGTTGATAATGACGAAAGTGTTTTGTCTTAATTAGATAAAGAGTCGGTGTAAATCTGATGGAAGGCTGTATACGGCTCGGTTGAAGTATGCGTAAGTACGCGAAAATGAAATAGTCAGTCGAGTGTGCAAATCTAAATGTCATATCGTATATTTTTCACTTTTCACGATACGTGACTGATCCGTCAGATATGCACCAACCCTTAAATCTTAGAGCATTGAGCCACGACCCTATTATTTTCAAATGAAAACATGGTGACCTTATTAATGCAAACAACTATAATAAAATTATTTTAGCCAACAGACTTGTTCATATACATTATACATATACACCAAATGCAACGTACCTCGTTATCTTGAGAGCGAGAAAATCGCCTTTCTATCGAATTCTTGAATTTGTAGGAGTGCAAAAAATCTTCCGAGTGGTCAGGTTTCCGCACAGTCCGCAATGTGGGCTCGCGTTTCCGTCCGTCCAGAGGCATCGGGTCCGAATCAGGAAGGATTTCACCCTCTCCCGACATTGGGACCACTGACACTGAAATAAAGTATTCCGATAATATAGCCTAATATTTGCAGAAGTGTTGACCGTCCAGACCTTCCTTAGATGTAAAAATCGCATGACAAGAACGTGCTATAACCTCCCGTGCGGTTCCAGTACAGTATGAGTTTTAACCACAGAACATACAGAGGTTTGAATGGTGACCATCGATTGGCGAAAAATTAATTCCTCCTTCGTCCATTTAGGACTACTGGTGCAATATATTCTACTACTAAGCTCACGTACACAATATAAATTCAATTGCGTTAGCCATGTTTCAAGGGTCTCTCATACAAACTCCTTTTTTAATGCGTATGTTGTTTATTTGAGAGCATTTAGGACGCGCTTTCTCCGCCTAAAACATCCTGGCATAATTTTGTTTCGTTTACGCAACGGTATATGTACCTCTGTCACACTCCATAGGGTATGTGTATTCAGCAGGACGTTCTGATTCATATTCGTTTGGATAATGAGGTGCTGGTGGAGGCACGGTGGCTATAACACCCGGCTTGACAGCGAACCCGTGAGAGCTGCTAGAAGACGACGCTGTCTCAGAAGACGAGCCCGGATGTGATCGTGGCTTCCCGCGGGACATATTTTCAGCTGTAATTTAAAAAAAAAGTGTGAAACATTTTTCGGGTTCAGTTTAAAATTAAAGCAAAACTATTTCATTAATTAAATTTCGCCTACATGAAAAATTTGAGTAGAACATTCCAGTACCACGCGTATTCTTGCTACAAAGAAAACATAATCAGATTGTATTTTTATTTGTTTTTAGAGAAAAAAATCTAGCGATGCGTGAAATGAGGTCCCGTGAAAGCTTATAATTTCTGCTTATTTCGATAGTAAGGTAAATCTTTTGAAGGTGTGAATTGATTAATTAGCTAATCTGATATATTAAGTACAATTAACACTATTTTATATTAATATATTGATAGGTATGGTACATGCAATAATGTTGAAGAAATTACCTACCCTTAGTAACTACTTCGCAGTGCCTTTGTAAGTGTGTAGCAAGTTGCGCGCAAAGTCCATCGCCCGGTCCGTAGCCTTGCACTTCCACGAAGAATCGCACGGCCTCCGCTGCTGCCTCCTGGTACCCAGCCTTGAAGTGATCTGTCGCTTGTTTTTCTGCAGCTACAACAAAACCCACGGCGAAGATGCTACATCCTCTAGCGGGCAACTCCCGACAACATTAGATTCCTTCATTACACACCAACGAGCATTTTAAACGCAAGCCTGCTTTTCTGCCTCAAATAATGTAAGGTTATAAACGATCGAAATATTCTATGACCATTGCTACACCAAGAAACGACGTAGATCATCTACTTTATGCGGAAAGTCATTAAACCTATTCAATGGAACCTGATACCGGACAAAAATTTGTTTGGTAAGAGAAATTATTTGCCACAATAAGAATAACCAACAAAAATTAAAAATATAATACAAAAAGAACCTACTGCTCAATTGATTCATTGCCACGCAATAAATAACAAAATATACTGTAACGATACTAAATCGTAGGATAGAAATATGCGTAAAAGACGAGACTTTTCTGTATATAAGAGAAGCGGTGTAGACAGAATAAATAATTATGAATAATTATATTTCATGAATTTTGCATTCACAATACTGTTGAAAAATATTCTTAATGAAAAATGCTTTCATTGGCACTTGTCACTTGCACTCTGAGATGGGACTCGAACCTATGACCTTTCTTAATCTGGGAGACTGCTCTAACCACTGACCTACCCAGGACCTAAGAGGACTGACTGATTTTTGAACTACTTGTTACTATTTCGCTACTACAGAGCGTATTTTCATCAATGTTCAATCAATGGCAATCCACCCAAACAGCCAAAGAAATAAAAGTATTTCTACAAATATTAAAAAGACGTGTGGGTTGTCTAAAATTGGATAACACTGAGGGCAGTGTAGATATAGAAGACTAACTATACAACAAAATGGAATTGTATCCTATTGTTGTCAGGTAGATAGGTAATACTACCAGCAAAAAATAACAGATAACCCCAAGTAAGCTAAAAAGCTTAAAAAATTTCACTCGTTACAAATGTTCATTACATTTAGATGCTTCTTATTTTGTTATACTATAAACATCCAAAGTTTTCTAAAAGATAATTCTTGAGTTTAGGTAAAAGGATTTACATCTTTGGAAATTTTCCAACAACTTGATGGAATCAAGAAGTTTTTAATATAGACCAAATACAAAACGGAAAATATTATTTAGCTTACATTCTGTCATAAATACGAGAATAATGTCATGTGCATTTAAATTGTAGAAAAACAATGTTCCCAGTTTCAGTGATATATAGAATCTCGCAAAAGAAATGCTTTAGACCAAATTGCGATGTTGACGAATTCAGAAAAACCATGCCTTACCTATATCTATTCTGCTTACTATAATTCGACGATCAGGCACACGTTTATGACATTATTATGCTCATAGTAAAAGTGGGGGCGATTGTTGGTGTACTTTGAATTATTCTGAGATTATGTACAGAAAACTCTTTGTATAACTAGTTTTATACAACAGTGAATCGAAAAAAACATTAAAGGTATTTCTGACATGAATCTTAAAACATTTGAAAGCGTGAAGAAAACTAAGTGACGAGTGGTTGCCGTACAGATAGGGTTATCAGAGTTCTCAAATTCTTAAATTAGGATCATGCTTTAAGCTGAAGACGAAGACTCTGCCAAAACAACAAATCCGTAAGTTGTTTTATAATAATCACACTCTCTCCCAATTTCTAAAAGGATGGTAACGTTATTCAGATTTGAGATAATATCGCCGTTCATTATATGATGGCTCAAGTTGACCGAGCGAAGGTCGCTCGCCTTGCTTGCCGAGCCAGGACGAACGCCAACATAATTCTATATATTTATTTGTTAGACTAAGACTAGGTTGCACGCCACAGTTTATATTCTCGTGCGAATCTGACTTCAGTTTGGCTAATATCCACACATTTGTGCTTTAACTTAATAACAGTCATCTATGTTACTTGTAATATGTGTTCATGTAAATGTTTATTATAACGTATACATCATTCAGACTCTGTTTGCGTTCGAGTTGGCTAATAATTTAAGCTCGGTTGACTTATGCCATCGTGTAATATTCGACATAACATTTTGGCCTCCAATTACGAATACGCTACCTACCATTAGACAAGTTGTTTCCGCTGTACACACCATTGGCACGATCCTGCAGGAACTTGAGATGCCTGATCGCCATCTCGATGATTTCAGTCTTCTCGACCCTTCCTCTGCCTTTCTTTAAATACTCGGGTGGTATGAGCCGTGATAAGTCTGCTAAACAGTTGTTCATTCGGTCTCGACGACGCTTCTCTATTATGCGATGCGACATCGGATCTTGCTGTAAAAGGAATTAAATAATTGCAATTCAAGGGAAATGGAAAAAAACGGTTTCATCGTCACTAAAATAAGAGATGTAATGTAGACAATAATGTACCATATATTTTTTTTAGTGTAGGAAAATGCTTTTCGCAAATAGCAGCGTATGACGAGTGATAGAATTTTGTTGGACAGCCCACGGCCATCCATCCAGTGGGCGTATTAGCTCCATTTCTTGGATCATCCAAGACCTAATCACTAAATATCTTAAATTGTATGTCCTCAATATATTAGATTAGATTAGATTATTCTAGATAATTAGAATAATAGCAAATGACTCAATTCTTTTTATGCTAACCAATTAAACTACGATATTGTGTAGTGCTATAGCTTTCAAAGGATAATTGGTATTCCCCAATGCATTTTTATTATATCGAGAAAATTGATAAGATATGTCTAGATGCGTTCACTGTAAGTTGGCAATAATAATAAGAGGTAAATGGGCAATTTCAGTAGACTTGCCCTCGAGACCTTCCCCTTCTTCAGGTAAGCGCCGGGTGGGTACTCCGCCTCGTCTTCTGAAGGCGCCGCCGCGAAGTTGAGTTGCTCAGCAACACGCCCGAACCCGTCGCTGGAGTTGTAACTGTTGACAACAAACTTTAGTTACATATAGGTACTCTTTGGTATTACTTGTATATGCAATAATAAAAAAATAAATAATTTAAAGAAAAACAAAAAAGCCGACTGCGTAAAAACGAATTTTAAAAATACATGAAAATATAAATAATAACTTAAATATAAACTAAAAAGAAAGATTCAAGCCCAGTAGTTTAGAATTCTGTTAAATAATACTAAATAACTACACAATTTAAATAGTTTTATAATCGATACACACATAAAACAAATAATAAATTCTAATATTTCTAATGCAGAACAGAACGACTCATAGTCGGGGCCCCTTGGGAAGATTTGATTAGTAAAATTTGAATGGGCCCGGAAGTACTAAAGTAGGTTAACTATTCTCTCTTAGTGAGCTAAAATTAATAACATAAATCTTTATATTCATAACAAAGTATTCAATTAGTAGACGCGGAGAATCTTAATACCGCGATTCAGAAACGTGCATGAAATGAACAACGCCATCTATCGAGCTTGGTGGTAAACTTTTTTTATTCAGCGACTTGGCGATTAATTAAAGTCATTTTTTTACCAAAAATATTTGTTCTTGATGCTTTTTCACAGTTTTTTTTTGTTTGTATATCGTTTATACTTAAAAACTTAAATCTATAAGTAAGAAAATTAGCGAGAATGATTGTTTTGTTAAACAACTTTAAATCGTTATATATCCTAAACTATTATTTAAAATGAAAAGTGATAAAAGGAACCTATAGATGATTTTAAAATACCCATTCAACAACACCTAACTTGACTTAGTTCATAGATTATTTTTTCATTCTGACAATATGGCGTCTGGTTGTCGCTGTTGTGAATTTTGATTACTGTCGTGTCTTTAGTGACATTCGCAAGTTTAAGACGAATCGGTTGACATAACAATCATCAGAATCGGCCTACGCATTTGGTCTTTCGAACGCCACATAAAAACAAACATACATACATAGAATAATAATAACAATTTCCCTTCTTTACGTCGCGCAGTCGGGTAGATATGCAAAAATAGCCGTGGTAATTACTCAGTTTTCAACTGTTATAAGCAACACATACATATCGTGTTAATACTTAGTGTTTCTTCTTGAAAGGTAGAACCCAAGACTAAAAGATGGGCATTGACCCAACACGCGGGCGGACTCAATGCGGTTTGGTATTAACGACTGCAGATGTAGCCGAGACGGACGGCTTAATGTGCCTTCCGAAGCATATAGGAGCTCGAGATAATAAATTTTCGGTCACCCATCCTATGACCGACCATTGTGAAGGTTGCTTAACAAACGTATCGTAGACAGAACGCTTTGACCAACGCCAACGAGCTCCTAGTATAGATAACTAGTAGATAAAATATAGGATACATGTGACCCGATTAAGATATCCAAGGTCGCACATGTTCCATTGTCTGTGAGTCCTATGGCTTTTGTATAGGTACCGGTTTCATTCAACGTCTGGATTTATAGCAGACTTTATTTTTACAGCAATCAAGAAAAAAACAGAAAGTTCGCCGATTGAAGTTTTGTCAAAGCACCACAATAAAACAATATATAATTAATTGCTTCTTGGTTTATAAATAAGCTGTTCATTATTTCTTTTACATATAATTCTTCTTTGGAAGTTCGAAATTATACACTAGGATCAGTATTTTTCTTACGTTTCATAATTTTCTAAACATAAACTCTTTCCGAATTTTCGACAAACTACAACTACACTATATCAGCGACATTTTATTGTAATCAATCATAACTTGGAGACCTCCGTGACGGTATTGCTCGTACTATGCACGTACGTCGATTTCGAGGTGTCTCTGAGGTTCCGGGTTCGATTCCCGAACGGGTCAATGTTGAAAATGACCTTTTTTATATTGCCTCGGGTTCAGATATTGTGGAATCTTCGATTTCCCTTTATTTATTTAATAGTTGTTCTAATATTTCCAACTGGTTTTTAAATCTTTCCCTGACTTCAATTAGGTTTATCGTCAAGACAAAAGCCCAAAGACAAAACCATGATATAGACATGGACAGAAGATGGCGTTTTGCGCGTTAAAAAAGTTTTTTTTTTTACTGTAAATCATTATACTAAATATTATTGGAAAAGTGTTTCGTAAAGCTACAGAGTGACAAACTTATTTATCAATTTTAAATATAAAATATTTAATTACGAGAAGAAATGGAAAATTTGAATTTTAGTGTTGACTTTGTAATTATTTTTTATTGATATTATAAATTTATATTTCGACTGTGGTTAAATCCTTCGAAATAATGATGATTCACTCAATTGAATAGTTTATATGGTCGTTATTTTTTTGTAAAAATTACAATTTTGGTCAATATATCTACAGTTTGTTTACTAATATTCAAATAAACATAAAAATGTTATAATATTTTATCAATTTTGCATTCACTATGCTATACTGGAAAATATTACTAATGAGAAATGCTTAAAAAATCCGAAAAAGCGAAAAAGTAACAAGTACTTGAAAGATTCGTTAGGTCCTGGGTATGACAGTGGTTAGAGCAGTCGCCCGGATGGTGAAAGGACAAAGTGCAATTATTAAGTATAATATTTTTCATTAAGAATAAGAATCTTAATTCAAATATGTAATAAAATATTAATATACAATTAAAAGAAAAATCTTTGCAAATGTGTTCATTAAACCGCAGGAAAAAAATTGTGGACTGATTCGAAATTAACGCTCTATAATGTAAAAAAACTATGTTTAATTTAATTAATTTATTTATCGACCAACAGACATTCAAACATCATAAACGTAACAATAAGCCAATTACAGGTTTCCGCATGTACAATATATACAAATATGATACTCGAATACGTAGGAATGATAAGTTAGCTGAAACGTGACAGCCATATAAATAGTCACGTTATGTACTCACATTACATTAAGTGTTTGATTATACTTTCGTAGGCATTATACCATACCTATATTAATCATTAATCCCATATAGTATTCAATGGTACTCACAATCACAACTTTCAACATTCTTCAAAGTATAAAATCGAAAAAACTTACGAGCGTAATGGCGTTAGTACTTTATCTAGCGATAATTTGTACGTTGAAGGAGTTAATAAGAGGTTCATGGTTTAACTTCGAGTTACTAGATAGCGGTCAAGCGGGTGACCCGCGTGAAGGTTTCGGATGTACTATTAATTGCTGATTAGACCACTGACGCGGTACGATAGAGTATTGCAGATAGTACGGTAACATAGTAAACTACACATTTTAGGACGAATCAGGACTAATTAATATGTTATTTTCTAATTTAATTAAATTCTCACATAAAATGGTGAGATGAAATCAATATCACAATGAGATAAAGTCAGTTCACGTTATATGTGTACAAAGATAAATTAAAATTTGACACAATTATTCATATTAATACTGTTGGCGTAATTATCCTACTGAGGAACAAATCGCTCGTTTTATCCTATGTAGGATTATAATAAGTGAATTTAAGTGGGGTTCAATATTCGTAATATAAATTCTAAAATGTAGTGTCGTGACATTGTGGATGGAACAATATAACTTAGTGTAAAGTGTGAGGTCATTCGATAGTAAATTAAAACACACACACCCCTCGTTTCATCCTGTGTATGAATATAATAATCGAATTTGAGTGGGCTTAAATATTCGTAATATAAATTCTAAAATGTACCGTCGTGACATTGCGGATGGAACAATATAAATTAGTGTAAGTAAAATGTGAGGTCATTCGATAGTAAATTTAATATTTAACTTCTCGTATTCTAGGTATTTTGGGAAGCACGTTTAGTCTTTACTTATGCCGGCCATGCACTAATCCTTAAGATATTACATACGTTATACGAAACCGGAACTAATAAAGTTGATAATTTAAAAAAATATTAGGTGATCAATCAAAATAAAAAATATTCAGTATTTTAAGTTGAATCAAATTATATACAGTGTGCCTTTAATGACCATTTAGTTATGTAGTTTTAGAGATTATCGTACACAAACATGATATGATCGTCATACAGTATACCTATCATTTTATGTTAATCCATCTCAAATGATAAGCATGAACAAGTAACTATAAAACATACTATGTTTTTGTCCAAATCTTCATCTAGTATGGTTACTTTAGGTAGATATTTGAAAAATTATTAACTGGCCTATCTTGACAACAAAGAATTTCGATGCAAACTTTTATTTCCTATTTCAAACCCATATTTTGCAATAAAAGATAGCCTATGCCCTTACTTTCCCAAGGTTAACTCTATCTTTGCATCCTTTATCAAAAATCCATTCAGTTTAGGCTTAAAAGTGGAACAAACAGATAAGCAGACGAAGTTACTTTCGCATTTGTACTATTAATGGGAGGTGTTGGTCATATATTATGAGACTTAATTTCTTATCAGTCATTACAGCAACGTAACCCAACGATAACATACTTAATGTCACTGTTTATGGACGTAAGACAACCGGTCGAAATGAATTAATATTATCTTCTTTATTAAAGTAACTCATTTTTCGCCCTCATTAGTAATTAGATCATCTCTTGAATAAGTTTTTGTCCTGTTTAACGTTAGTAGTTAAATTCGTTTTAAATTAAATTCCTTATTTTAGATGGTAAGCTTTTAATATAAAATATATTCGAGAATATTCGATACACTAGACATTCTTTTTCAATTTAAAATAAAAATATAGGTATATAGGTACTTTTTTTTTCATAGTCTATGCTCCGCGTCATTTTAGTATATAGGACTCTTAAGTTTTTGATTCTTTAAATATAGCAAGACAAGCCAGAGGCATACCACAAGAAACAGACCACAGCCAATTAATTAACTTTCAAACAGGCAAATTATTATAATAAATCATAGAGATATCAATTAATAACGTTTTTTCTTTTTATTCTATTACTTGTTTTCCTGCTACTTTGCCTGCGTAAATAATAGCCAATGTCATTCGCGTATGATATAACAGCCCGTAGGTGTAAGTATTTCAAAAAAATAGATAATTAAATCTTTCCTCGTTATAATATTAGTTTAGATAAGGACTTTTCCGGTTATTTATTTATTATGGTCACCCTTCTTTCTCGCACGTGTTGCTTACATACCTTGCAAGCACCTGATACGGTCTACGGTAAAGTGCAGAGGATGCATTGTACGTTATCTTATTACACACCGATAAGGTTACCCGAACAAAACACGTAGATAAGTAAAGGAGTATTATTTTAATTTTGGTAAATAAAATATAGAATTTGTCACAGAAATATATTTCACATACATATATTCAATTAATTAATCAATTTTGTTTTGTTAAAAAAAATGGCAGCAAAAAACGGAGCAAAAATTATAAAATAACAAAATATGTATTATTCGTCTTTCTGTCGACATAAACCTTACATTTTCTAAAAGACATCATCGTTATTAAAGGTTCTCGCAAAATGTACCCTGCCCATCTAAAATTTAGGTTTTGCGCAGCCATTGATCCATAGCATAGAATAATTAATTCATTGACGATCATTGACACCGTTAATTTTGTTCAAATGTCCATGTGTCCTTTACATTTAAAATTTTTTATGCTTTTGGTCTTAAATGTAATTTCATATAGTATTTTTTTTATTACGAATAAAAGGTACGTACGTCAAAAATTCTTTGTGAATGTCGTGGTGTTTAAAATCTCTTTGGTCGGTTCATCTGGATTTTTAATGTAAACAGTTTTAAATATAATAACAACTGTAAAATATATTTATATCATGGTAATAATTAATACGTACGAAGTGAAGTCAATAGAGTGTTACAACAAGATATGTAAAAAAATATAAATTTTACAGGAATCTTTGTAATGAAATCCACGTTTTGCTATGACAGAACCCTTTAAATTATGATTTAGTGTTCTCATTTATAATTAAAACTTATTTGGACTTTATATCTCTGTGCAAAACAAGTTGAAAGATAATGGTTTTGGGTGTTATTATTATTACATACACACAGATACGCCCTCTTAAGTTTCACGATCTATAGTCCGCACACCCGACTCGAATTCTACGGATGGTAATCGGCCAAGCATTGAAGATACAATTATTGTGTTCCAAGTGCATGCGCGATACGCGCATTGCATCGCGATGTCTTTATGTGTAAGTGACGTCAGTCACGCGCGCGCGTCACGTGCATGCGTCTCTTGGTTTCACGTGCGCGTACGGCGGCCAACGACTCACCCGCACCAGACCTACTTCGAAAATCGAGACGACACTGAACAGCGTCAGATCATAAACTTGGCGCCCTAGGCAAAACATTGGAAAGACGCCCATAGAAAATCACAACAAAATCAAAGACTAATATAGGTACAACGGTTAAAGAGTATAATCAATACATAGTAAAGAACCAAACAGACTCTTTACGTCTGTTTTTCTCTATGTAAGTATGCTTCGATCTTTAAAAACTGCGCAAACGAATTTCAAGCGGTTTTTTTAATAGATAGGGTGATCCGAAAGAAATGCTTTCATGTATAATACAAGACCACAATAGTTTTAATGATTTAAGCATACATAGGGACAGAGAAAGCGAGTTTGTTTTATACTATGTAGTGATTTTTGTGGACAAATAGGATTTTAATTAACATTTCATTGCCAAATTATTAAAATAAGGTGATCAAATAAATTTTCTTCTTCCTTTCATTAAAACAGTTTTCGAGCAGGTCGGAAAGTGGGAAGGTACGTCCAATTAAGAATTCTTTGCTGCCATTAAAATGTATGAAACTTTTTTAAATCTAATTTAATAATGCGAGTTCTAGTGACCATTATTTGTCAACGATCAGTTTTCGTCCAATATTTTTTTTTAATTTAAACTGATTATGATATACAGTTATGCTGGTCGGAAATTGCATGGTGAGCTTTTAGTTTTTTGTTATCGTTAAATTAATTGTTATACAAAACTTTATGAGTTTATTGGAATATGGAGCCCATTAAAAGAGGAATGACCACGGAAATCAATACGAAATGTTTTTTTATTGTTTCTAGATTATTGAAAAATGAAGACCAGTTTTGAAATACTTTTGTTACTTATACAAAAGTGATAGATTTATGTGATTATTTAAAGCTCAATTATTTGTGAAAACAGTGATAAACTATTCTTAATATAAAATGCTTAAAAAATCCACTTGGTCCCTGGCACCCTGATATGGGAATCGAATAATTTTCAGTATGGCATTGTGAATGCAAAATTAATCAAAAATATAGTGATACACTACAAATTAGATATATATAACCTTTAAAAATAAATGAACTAATTATTTATTATTCATTACTATTAATGGTTTATTATTACTATTAATCGTAGTGTCCTGAATTTCGATTTCATAAAAACCGCCTAAAGAGCCAAAAGGGAGTAAAAACCGGTAAAATAGGTATTTTGACGTTAGAATTTAAATATGAAAAAACTATTAATTTAATTATTAAAAATAGACTATATATAGAAACTATATTATTATTAAAAATAGATTATATTTGGAGTCCCCACTATTTTGTTGGGTACAAATTATTCGGCGGAATATTCATATTTTTGTATTCAAAGTTGACAATTCCACTAATTGGAGAAAACAGGCTACGTTGTTGCTTCATTTTTGTATAACACAGAGCTTCAGCTAGTTAGGTTGGAATCTAAGCAATGTATACGATGTTGTTTATTGTTTTATATTCAAGTATTATTATATACATAAGTTAGTGAAATATAAATGTCATGTTAAACATAATTTTTATTTTTTTAGCACCACAAATGCATACGTGTCAACCCTAGCGCTATAACCGAATCGGTCTACCATTTATTCTATATCTATTTATTTTGTGCTGATATTACATGATAACGTGCTATTTCCAAGAACAGAAGAATAATACTTTGTTTACGTTTTATGAATTGTTTACCGAAAATACATTGAAGATTGTGAATATTATTTGTGTGTTTTTTTAGATCATATCTATTTTGGAATATTTTTCTTGAGCACATGTTACAGTTTCTTGAAGACTCCACAATATTTGATCTTGATGAAATATGTACAACAACGTACGTATCTATAATAAATTTGAAATATAATTAGTAGATACAAAAAATGAGATGGCTGAAACATTAGTCCGTGTCTACTCTACATAGCTCATTCACTCTGACTGTCATCCTACTCTAATGCAATGCCTACTGTGGACGTCCGTATCGCCCCAAACAAGTTTGCATTTAATTCCGCAGCACGTAACCATTACCCTCTGTCTCCTTCCATTTCATAATCTGCTATTACTTTTCTCTTATTCTGTATACCTTATTATAACATTTTTTTTTTCGTATAGAATGTATATTTATTTTTGCATATAATGTTCTTTAAGTATTTACAAATGAGCTGTGATTATAAATTAGAAAACACCATTACCCAATAGGTCAAACGTGGATTTAAAATATATATTGACTTCGCTGATTAATTTGAATTTTTGCAACCAAACTCAACTCACTTCAGTTTTTTTAGTTTCTTATTCAAAGCGTCAAAAGGCTGTATATCTAAAGCACAGCGATAGTAACACATTTAAAATTTTCACAGATTGTCACGACAAAACGTTGACAATATAAAATTATTATTTTACCTTAGTATTTTAGGGATATTTGGAAAATAAACTTGCCACGAAAAAAATTCAAACTTTATTTGCGTTTTTCATTCAAAATACTTTAAAATAATTTCAAATAATATTGTTGCATGCGCCTCTTTTCCCCCTATTATTTCTTGCTTTAAGCTTTGGAATAGTATCTAAATCTAAAACAAATGCAAAAAATAATGTTAACAGGCAATTTTTCTAAAAATTTCGAGTACCCATGTTACAACATGAAACTTATAAACAAGTAATATTTTTTATAAACAAAAAACCAAATGACTTTACTACCCTGGTTTTCTTATCAGAGGACCGCCCGTTTTTGAATTTGAAGTTGAACTTAATGCCAGATTTGATCCCAATTTCAAACTTTGAAAGGTTTTTTGTACCGCAAGATGCCGTTTTCGATAGGCAATGATTAGTAAAAGGTTACATTTAAAGTTTTCTGTGTTGCCATATAAATAACCGACTTCGTAAAAGAAATGCAGATTTCGCATTAAAACTTAGTCGACTCGTTTTGTTGGATAACTTTTTGCTACCTTATAGGACATGATCCCCTTGCTATACAAATTTTGGGACTTCTGATCAAAAAATCGCGACAAGTGGTTTTGCTAGTCCTCGTGTGACGTTAACCTGAAACTGCCTAAAGAATTCTGGAGAAACCGGTGGAAATTTGAAGGTGCAAGGTCAGGACTATAAAGTGGATGCATTAAGACCTTCCAATCAAACAGTAACAACCTAACTTAATTTTTGCTGAGTGACAAAAGATGTGTGTTATCATGATGAAAAACCAAATCTCTTCTCTTGATTAATTTTGGCCGCTTTCTTTCAACTTCTTACTTTAATCTCATTAGTTGTTCGCAGTAGAGAGCAATCGATGTTCTTGCCTGGCGGTAACAGCTCATAATGAATAATGCCCTTCCAATCCCAAACATACACACAACATCACCTTGTTTAAAAAAAAATAAAAAAAAGTTGCCAGTTAACCCGGGTTTCGCCGCAGTCTATGAAGCCCGACTTACCTTTGACTACGACCTTTTTCGCACGTTCTTGTCGTACGTTATCCACTTTTCATCACCAGTTACCAGCTTCTTCAAAAATGGTTCGGTTTCATTACGCCGTAATACAGAATCACAAATGAGTACACGGTTCATTTGGTTTTTTTTTCAGTGAGCTCGTGAGATACCCAAATATCCAACTTTTTTGTGTCCCATCTTTTTTCAAATGCGCTAAAACTTTATGATCAATCCCCAGTTCTTCAGCTACATCGTAACTATTATACCGGTCTTGCTCTACTTTTTCAAAAATGGCATCCATTTTGTCCGTAACCGGAGCGGAGTGCATCTTTGACATCAAAATTTCCGGACTGAAACCGCTTTAACTAAATTTCTGCTATTCTCACAGAAACTGCACTAGGTTCATAAACGTCACATTATTTTCCCAGGTTGCGTTGTATTTTTATCCTTTTTGAAATAAAGTTTTAAAACATATCGAATTTCTTCAATAGATTGACTCATTTAGACAGTAAGAATATAGAAGAAATAAATGAAAATCACACATTTTCCCTATTTACATTTAGAGTTATATTCTATAAAATTTAAACTTTTTAATGATACGGTAACTAGCCAGATACAAATGGTATAGCCAGAAAAAATGTATTACAAGTTTATGCATATTATAAATGAAAAGACTTTTCCCCAATGTAATATTACGGAAATGGGCAAATTTTAAAGTAAAACAGCCACCTTTAGCGGCAAGTCAATGAAAATACATCAAGGAACCTACGGAATTTGAAACAGTTTTCCTAAACGTCACTTTTTAATAATAATGGTTATACTATGGCTATCAGAATCAAAAATACCTAAAGTTATAATAAAAAAAACGAGAAGCCCGCTTGCGTGAAAAACAACTAACTGAAAAGGCTGGAACATGATAAAAAAAATTCAACATGAAAAAATGGAACAAGACTGATTTGACCTGATATATTATTCAATTTCATATCTTGTTCCAGCCCTTTCGGTTACTTGTTTTTCACGCAGGCGGGTTTTGTGCTGTTTTAATTATAATTTTATTTATTTATAAATTACCAGGTTGGTTCAGAAAGTGAAAGACAAAGTCCATATTTTTAAACTTTCTCATTGTAATATTTTTATTAGTATTACGGTTATAATAATAATGAAATTTTATATTAACCTTTTTGGAATCCTTGTAACGAGCCCTTTCTTTTGATATCCATATTGTACTATTTGAAAGAAAAAAAAACATTAAATGTAATGGCGTCGGACAACATCCATTTTAGATTTTTTAATGTAGGACATTTGGGCTAAAATTAAGACAAATCAATAATCTAAATCCGTCAAGCCGTTCTGAAGATATGAGGAAATAAAGAATATTACATACATACAAGATACGCGTTAAACAGAAACCCTTTCTTTGCAGTCGGGTAAAAATAAAGCAATTGCCTTTCAGTAGACTTATGATTGTTTTAAGAATCTTGCTGTTGGAACAGAAATTTTCCAAGACTTCTTTATGTGTAAAGCATGACTTTAAATATTAATATTAAGGTGATGTGTACTTTATATCAGTTGTGTCTATGTATTTTAGTTATAATCGTAATTTATGTTAATAATTTTGTATTTATTTGTATGCTATAAATAAAATAGATAAATAGGTAAAAGCTCATTGACTTGGAATACTTTCATCAAAATTTTATCAGTGTAACTCTATTTAAGGCAAATAAATAATTTAAATTTGAATACGGTAATGCAGTGCCTATATCTATGAAATATAATATTGCAAATTACCTATCTATAGTTATATTAGACAATAGTCGCGTTGCGAGTTTCGCGAGAAATCGAGTGTCGTATCCTCACGTGACTGGATTCCAATGCACCGAGTGCCTACCACAGACGCACGACGCGACTTATGTCTTGTGTAGTATGTACATACATATTTCATATAAACTTATATTTAAAAGGTTCGTACTCACACAAAAGTGAACTTATTGCCTATAATTATAAAGTGCATTCCTGATACACGTTTATTGACCGTGATCTATTAGCTTACATCTTACGGCCGTCACGTGTTGCTATAATTGCTATAATAAAATTCAAGAGTACACAGACGATGAAGCAAAGAAAACGAGATCTTAAATTGAGAGTTATACAGCATATTATAATTTGCGCGAAGTATTTGGAATGTAATATGAAAATTGCGGGCTGTTAGCCCACATGTGCTTATAAATTTAAAAACAGGAGCTGGCAGATCGTGAGCGGATTACATGGATAGAAGGTATAGGTATTTGACACAATGACAACTGTTCTAGAACATGAAAAAGCGGTCAAGGGTGAATAGGATTAGTGTACCGAGGGTTCCGTGGATATAAATCATGTTATAAGTTTTGCTGTTATCTATATAATACCCTATTGTCTATTTTTTTTTGCAATTTTAGAATGTATTAGTCGTTATGTAGATAGTTTCGGAAATAAGAACAGACGTACTGACAGACACGTAAGAGAGCTTATAAGGTTTTTGTTTCGTTTATTCTTTTAAAGTTCGAAATCTGTGACATGTAAATATTTATAAAAATTATCTCGATAGAAAAAAAAAACAAAATTCATCATACAATTCGTAATTATAGGAGTTAGAGAGCTCATTATATTGTAGAGCCTATAATATCACAAACTTACTCAATTAGTTTTACGCGGCGTTTGTAATACTTAAAAAACAGAAATCTAATCTAATCTAATGATAAAATCGAATGAGAAAAGAGGAACTATAACGTTGTAAAGGAACTGAAACGAAAATCCGGGAATCGCCAGAGTCAAATATTAGACAGTTAATTGCACGTTAATTGGGATATAGACAACCTTTTTTTTAATTTTATTTTTTATAGACAACGACAAGAGATGTAGACAACCTTTTTTTAATTTTATTATTTATGTTATATATATACATATATATATACACATATACATATATCGTATAAAAGTATTATTCATTTAATAATGTTAAAGTCTAATCGCTAAAGTCTGAGTCGCTGTAACGTCACGGCACTCTGAAACAAATATCGATCTATGTATGCATAACTTTTAATTCTCTAATTCCTGATATGTGTAAGAGGTTTATGATAAAATATTTGTTTATTCCTACACCTACTATCTATTACATTATTTATTGCACCCTAATTGTAGCACTTTCTAAAGTAATAGGATATAATTTGGATTTATTTAACATTATTCTGCTATGTGATAGAAGATATAATCTAAACAAAATTTATACTCTTAAATATAAAGAGGTAGTTTCTTTATTTATTAATTGTTTACACGGGCGAAATCGCAGGTAAATATCCAGTAATACAATATAATAATAAGATTAATTCTGTATTGTTTCTGTCACGTATCTTCCTCTGTGTTGTTGACAGAATTTAATAAAACAGTTTGACAGGATTAAGGATTATAACCGTTACGGTCAGTTGCGCAAACGTTCATTAAGGTTTAATGACGCCTTTAAGTTCAAATTAATGTCAAATTTGTATGGGTTATGTCGCCTTAAACTAATGACAATTTTAATGGACCCTTGTGCAACTAGCTGAAAGTCTAGGTTTTTATAACGGAATTGCTATCAATGACCTATTGCGCAAATAATGTTACAAAAATGATAAATCAACTTCACGGAAACTATTACCAGTATCATAGAAACGCTACTGTTTGATTTGAATACAAAATTGCATTAATATAATGTAGTTCGATATAATAAATAATTAAAATATCTCTTTGTCTTTTTACGTATCTTTTTTATTATTTTTTTAACAACGTACAGTTCACTTTTAATTCCCGTTCAATTTGTTATAAGCTATTTGATATAATATTAGCACGTATTGAATTATTCAATAAGATATTTTAATATGATTTAGTATCATTGCCTGACCTGGAATATGTACTTCAGAAAGTTCATTCCACTCTTACGAACACGTGTCAAACGTGACTTTTTTCACTACAATGGAAAGTTTATAGAATCCCGAACAAATTACCTATATTAAGTTAGTAACCTGACGTCGAAATTTGATAACGTAATTTTATATAGAGTAGCATGGGCGAAACTAGCATTTACTTAAGGATGGCGCAAAAGTAGAGTTCGTTTCACGAAAGATGTCCTAATAACAATGTTTTTGCTTTTATTACAAAGGAATATATAGTTGCCAAGGTAACTTTTACGTGAAATGGTTTGTAAAGAAATTCCATATATAAAATCTTTTTCCTGTCAATTTTTACAAAAATGAGTTTAATGCATCGTTAGTTAAAGAATTTCCATTATGTTTTTGTGAGAAATCCAATTTGCAGTTAACTAGTTTTACCACTATGGATGAGAAATATTAATTTATAATTCTCGGTTGTTTTTGTTTAGATACACTCAATTCCTTCTTAATGTTGTTTATCATCCACTAGGCAGTCCATTTTAGTTGCAGTCCACAAAAAAATAGTTTTTCTAACTTGTAGACAAACTTTTGGGTTAGGCTCGAAACCGGTTCAAAATAAACCGGATTTTCTTTCTGGAACATATTTATAAGTTTTCAGGATGAAAAATATGCCGGTAAAAATATAATAAAGGTCCCATTTCAAATTAGTGAATTATTTATTAATTTAATTTTTCATGCACAAAAAAAGTACATTGGCGGACTTAATGCCTTAGGCATTCTCTCCCAGTCAACCTTAGCGTGCTGTAGGGAAACCGATGGTGGCAAGGTGCACAATGGAACTAAAGAATAAAGATTTCTTGCTAAACAAGTGGTTACATAAAAACTTATAATACATAATATCTATAACAAATAGATATATATCGATATGCGTACATAATCTATATATACCATATACATACATATAATAAATATACGATAAAAGTAAACCATATTTTAAGTGTTCAGGTTAAAACTGAACAACTGAAAACGACAACACATACATTGCCCAAATTCCAAGATGAGTAGCTAAAGCACCCGTATTATGGAGTTTCTGAGACAACGAATGTTCCACAACACCCAGACCCGAGACAATATAGAAAAGTTCATTTTCCACATTGACCCGACCGGGAATCGAACCCGGGACCTCAGAGATGGCGACACCTTGAAACCGGCGTGCGAAACACTCAGCTACGGAGCTTTTAGTTAGGCCGAACCGGTTTACAAAATATACTAGTTTCCAAGCCCTGCATTTGGAAACCGATACTTTGCACATTTTAATATTTTTCTGGTCACTTACTTCTAGTAAAAAACATAGAGCATATTATTTATTATCATTATTCGAATAAATATATCTAATCAAAAAATACTTAACAACAAACGATTTTTA